TACCCCAAATAGTCCGCAATTGTCAGAACCGCCCAATGGTCACCCTTTTTTGTTGGTCGGTACAATGTTACACGCCCTAACCTTCCGAACCGTACCGTTTGTTTTGAGAATTTTTCATATGTTCCCACGCCCTAATATTTTCTGATTAGGGGAGATGTCTGGCGGAGCTTCTAAACCATCCGGACAGGACGTTCGGGAGTCACATTTGTACGACAGGGCGTTCGGACCACAGTTGTAGAACCTTTTTTCATATTTTAAATTCAAGCGAAGCGTAACACACACTCCGTTACTTGGGAAAAGTTACGCTCCGTTACAGCCCATCTCAAAGCTTCGGTAGGATGTGAGCTCAGAAATTTCTGGCATGGGTTGTCAGCCTCTCACCTCAACTCCCCTACACGGCTTTGTGAAGCTCCACAGCCGTTCGCAAACATGCTGAGCCCGTCCCAGCCTGAGCTTACCCATTGCCTCTTGTTGGTGCGAGATGGTTTGAGAACCACCATCAAGAGTCTAGCTGCTCCTCTGAATACAGTCTCCAGGTGAAGGAGCTATCATCAACCTACAATCGTCATCTATACGCGAATTAGTTTACTATCACATGAGCTTACGACGATCTCAAGGCTTATACAAACGCCTATTATCAAATTTGTATTAGAGCGTGGTACACATAGGTGAAGATCGCAAAACAATAAGGATCATTTCGACGATCCTTGCATACCAGCGCCTTACCTACCACTGTACAGTGATAACTGTACCAGGTGCTGTACCAACAAAGGGAGGATCAAAATCATGAGTAGTCTAAGCTACCCACTTTTAGTGTTCTCGAAAAGATCATGGTAACTACCAATCTCAAGGTGATCTTTGCATTTCTGTACCAAAGAGAGGTTGATCCTTGTTTACAAAAAGTCATACAGTCGTAATCGTATTTGTGAGGATCGAGGATTGAGTTCAGTTATTGAATCATGAATCCTGGGTCCAACTACGGGGCTTATATAGGCACGAAACAAGGCCAGTAACCAGGATGTTACGGGAAGGTTCCGAGGGTCGCAAAGCGTCCCGAATGGGTCCTTCCCGAATTCGGTAGGATCCTGTCAGTGGAATCACGTGTTACGCAAAGTCACGCGGTGATAAACCAAAATACAAACAAAACTAGGAAAACAACAAAACTATAGTATCTATAGTAAAGCAACAAAACTAGGAAAACAAGCACAAGAAAATTGAAACAAGCAAGATAATGCAAGGTAAAATAAATATGGGTAAGTGTAGCCGCTCTACTCTCACAGTATTGCACCGCTATCACACAGTCGCAACCAAAACATTATAAAAAGGGAACTCGGACCAATGAAGCTGTTGTGTCTCAGCCTGTAGCTCGCTCAACATGGTCAATGCAAATTTACAATGCTCGTGGCGTCACGTAATTTCTGGCGACGTCGCCTGGTCGCACAGGAACACCACTGCAAATTTGCATATGATCGTGATGTGCCCCAAATACATCTTTTTTTACCACTCATAATCATACTGTTGGTGTGTTGGTGCCCCAAATACATCTTTTTTTTTTTTTCCTTTTTCTTTTTTTTTAACGGCAGGTGCAATATGCTCTTAGCTTCACCAGCACCTTATTGGACAGAGACAGTAATCGGAGAATGGCATTCGGTATGTCGGATTTGCTCTTCGAGCGACAACAACCCCACGTTTTCGCATCTCCTTTCGCAAGCCATTATCATTCTTAGCCGTCACCTTGGAACTTTGCCTCATCTTCATCTCCGCCTTTTGGCAATCCTTTCCAGTTCAATGATGGATTTGACTCACCAACAGGGAACTTGGCATAAAGACGATGCAACGATGCACGAAAACATGACATTGCGCGGAGGCAGCAAGAGCATAAGCCTGACGCGCGGAGGCATGCAGCCCGCGCGCGAAGGTCGCAGCTGGATGTGAACGCGACGAGGATTCAACAGCCACAGCTGCAAAAGCACGTCCAGCATAAACCCGTCCAACACCCAGCAAGCAATTGCAGCGAGCTCCCCGACACCCCGACAAGGTCGCCAATGGCCAGCGTTGTTGGCATTCATGTTGCTAAAGTCGCTCGCTTGTCGGCTGACGATGCTGCTCTCAAGTTGCAAGCAACATGGCGCCAAATCAAGCCTCTCGAACTGGCTCGGTCCATAGCTGGCGTTAGAAAACTGGTTCACGAGATGGACGCGCAACTTCAAGCTAAGATTATTTCCTACCCTATGGAGAAGCTTCGGGTGAGCGAGACAATCATGAGTTGGCTGCTTCGGTTGGACGAGGTGCAGTCCCCAAACTAGGACGTTTGGAACTTGTAATAATCATCACCAGGAAGCTGACAAAGCTGCTAGACAAGGTCAACATTCTCACAAGTACTCAACCACAGGAGGCTGAGACTCCCTGTGAAGTTGCTGCTGATAATAGGGTTACCACAATGGATGACTCACCAGTGGATGTAGGTCCGCCGGGCGCGAGCAATGATAGCTGCCAGTGTGACAGTCAATGCAGAGACAATATGTGTATGAGCTGTGAGAGTTCTGATGTTACTGAGCGCATGCATCAAGTTGGGAGGGTGGTGAAGGCACAAAAGCAGAGGCACCAGAGGGACGCCTTGTGGCAGTTGAAGGAGAGAATGGCTGGGAAGCGAGGAGGTGCAGTGTATGCTAGAACCTAGATTCATATATCTCAGTCTATCACAAAATCCCCGGATGCGCGAGGCAAACACAGGGGGATTAGAAATACAAAGTGCTCTAATCCGAATTTATATGTATACTGAGTGTTGTTTGGTATGTTCAGTTCACATCTAAACACTTGGATCTTTGTGGTTGCAGTGTAAGAAATGCCAGGACACTGATGCTTCGATGTCCACAATTCATAGGTATTTTAGAGCGTATGTTTGCCCATTAACAAAGAAGCGTAGAGATTCTGACGGAACCAAGCCGCAGTCTTTTGCAGAATCATTAGCCCATCCATTTCTTAAAAGGCACGTACGATATGTGGAAGGACACGTACAATCTACTGTAAGCTTTTTATTTTATTCTCGTCACCCACGATTATGTGTATTCCTTAGTATGTACAGCATGTACACCATGGAAACATAGAGCATAGTTACCCCCTAAAAAACCTGAATTGACAAACGACCCTCGACAACAGCCCAACACTCTGCCCTAGGAAGGGAAGATCATGCCTGTCACCTCCCACGTTTCTTTTTCACCCCCCTCACCCCCTTCCCCACTCTCACCCCCCCCCTCCCCTCCTGCTCCTACTTACATCCGTGCATCCCCTCACGTGTATTTCTTCTTACATAGGGTAGGGATAGGTTGGTGATCACGAGCTGTTTCGATTTTGCCTTGACTATACATTTCACTAAAGCAGACCAAACTGTGGCTATACATGGTTTGTTTCTATGGTGTACTCATCCAGCAAAACCCGAAATTCATGAGTGTTGACGGGAAATGGCCCCGCCCTCGCTTGGGCGAAGCAGACTTCGCAGTCCGGGGCGCGCAGAAGTCGATGCAGACTGCGCGCAGAAGTCGACGTCGACCTGTCCGCGGAGTTCGACGTCGACCTGTCCGCGGAGTTCGACGTCGACCTGTCTGCGGAGTTCGACGTTGACCGCCCGCAGAAGTCGACAAAGTTGTCTGGTCGACAAAATTCTGCTGAGGTGTTGGTCAAGCCCACAGAGGACGCGGTCTTTGAGCCCGCAGAGGATGCGAGTCGACGGCCCCGTAGAGGAGCATCGGTCGACGGGCTCTGCTCGACGAGCTCGTCTCAACGAACGTTATTTGTCTGAGCATCGTCGAGCTGGTCGACGGAAGTCGCTCGGCTGCGAAATTCGATGTATGGGCGAATGTCGCCCAGGTGGTTTTCGCGAAGTCGACCTGCGGAACGGCATCACGTGCTCGACGGTGCACGGCTGGCAAAATCGTCGACACGTGTTCTACCTGGCACCTGCGCAATGTGCCTGGCGGCGCGATCGTCTACCTGTGTCAACGGGAGATGTGTGTTGGCCCCGTCCTCGCTTGGGCGGAGCCGACATCGGGGTTGGGTGTACGAGAAGTGCAGCCGACTTGCAGCAGTGGGTGATGCCGACTTGGGCGAGCTGGTCGACGGATTTGGTCGACCTCACAGGGCCACTGCAATGACGTCGACTTGGGAATCCGGCGGCCGACTTCAACTGGTGGTCGACGATGGGGCTCGTCGACTTGGATGTCGGCGCCGACTTGGGGAGTTGCCGACTTTGTGAAGTCGGCTAGAGGACGTCGACCTGGGTGTTCGACGGGCGCGTATAGCAGCTGGTCGACACTGGCCACACAAGTCGACGCCGACTTGGTGGTTGCCCGGTCGACCAGGTTACCTGGATGACGAGGTTCTGCGGAGGCACGCGACGGTCGCCCAGGTGTTCGTGGCGAGACCGACCTTGGTGGTGGTATCCCGGGGTCGACGTGGCTGATCAGAGGCATTCGTCAGCACGAAGTTGATTTGGTATGTGCGCTGTGCATGTGACAAGGCACAACACGCCAATCACCTGCGAGCACCTGCGAAGTAGGTGCGCTGCTGTCATGCAGGAGCAATGCTGGACGCCATCGACCTGCAGCGTTGACACGCCGTCGACTTTGCACTGCTGGAATGCGATCGACCAAGTCGTGCTGGAACGCGGTCGACTGTGCTGTGCTGGAAGTCGTCCCGCTTGCATGCTAGATCTGATGTAGTCTTGTCTTACCAACTTCGTTGTATTGTTGTTCTCAACTTTTGCTAGTGAAATTATTGCGGTTTTGCCCCGTGAATGCACAACTGCTAGAGAACGACTAAGTGAACAAACGCAGAGATCCCTCCTACCCCGTGCCTAGCCCGTAGTCTAGCTCCCGTTGATAGAGTTGTCTCCGCATGGTGCGGTGAGCGTGGAAGGCACACGACTTACCTTACAGTCAGGTCGACGTAGTTGTCACTTACCTAATTCGTGTTCGTAGGCCGGCAGCTGTGCAGTAGTCACTATGGTAGGCGCCGTAGGTGACACGGGGGTGGTGGACACCCTGGAAGCACAGCTAGAGGATGCGAGGAGACGCCATGAGGCTCAGGAGTACGGAGCAATCCCATGGGCGGTCGTCGAGGCTGGACTCCACACCCTGTGGGCGACGGAGCACCCTTCTCGGTCTGCCTCTCCTCGACCGGTGAACACCGAGGGCGGCGTCGACGTGGGCGTCAACGCCGGTGGTGGCCAAGTCGGCAGCAGTGCGGGAGGCACGTCGAGGCATCGAGGAATGATTCACGCCGATGAAGTTGGCGGCGTTCAGGCGCGAGGGATGCAGTCATCGGCGGCTGCAGCCACCTCGCAGGGCGACGTCGGTGGACGTCGGAGCGGAATGACGTCGATGTCGGCGACTCATGTGACTGCGGGTGGGATAGCACCCAGCTACGGCTACTTCAAGTTCACGCCGGACAGGATCTCGGTCACCCCCCTACTCGTTGGTCGACCGGACATCCTCACCTGGAAGGAAGCCATCGAGCCCCAGCTGGAGATGGCCGAGCTGATTGGCTTCGCCAGGGGCACTGTGGCGACGCCGGAGGAGCACTACCCCGACCTGCGTGCGGAATTTTGCGCCGTGCAGTTGCTGACCTTCACGGCCATCTCACGGTGCTGCTCGCCGGGCGTGCAGATCGCCTTGAAGTCGTGCAGGGAGTACCTCGATGCCGGCCACCGGGCGTGGCACTTCATCGAGTCGACGTACCAGGTCACCGACGACCTGTACATCGGCTAGCTTGAGGAGCAGCTCTCGCACATACGGATGGGCGAAGAGGAGACGGCGACCGACTACTGCAACCGGGCTCGGCAAATTCTCGCCACCATGAGGATGGCCGGAGTGCATTACTCGACGGCGTCGTACCTCACGCACGTCATCAAAGGGCTCACGAGCAGCTACAACCTGCTGAAGCAGTTGTCGCTGGCGCCGAGCACAAGGGCGACACTCAACGAGGACTCCCTTACCTCGTACATCCTGCAGGGTGAAGCGATGCAGGAAGCTGAGCGGTCCTCGGAGCTCCTGCCGCAGGTGAACTACGTCGCCCCGGCGAAGCAAGGTGGTCGACCGGGGCAGCGCGGGCAGTCTGGCGGCAGTGGTAGCAGTGGCTGGAAGCCGATCAAGGACGCCGACAAGAAAAAGTCGGCCAAGGATAGCGGTCGTGGAGGAGGAATTCGACGTCAGGAATGCTGGCTGTGCGGCAACCCCAACCACCTCTCCTTCGAGTGCCCCGACCGCAGTGACTCTGACGACGACGATGCCAAGAGAGGCCGCGGGAGGTCTGTCAGCCGTCGCCCACATCGAGGCAGAAAGCAGCCGCGCAAGGAGAAGCAGTCGACCAAGTCGTCGACCTCGGCGAAGGACGCCGACTCCCCTGCTGGCGGCAAAGGGCGAGACGACAAGGAGGCGTCGTGCTCGCTGGTCGGCGTCGTGGAGCCGACCGTCTTGTTGGCTCCGGAGGCTGGCGAGGACTTCCAGGCGATGGCGGCGGCCGTGCAGGCGAACCCAGCGGTAGTCCTACTCGACAGCGGCTGCTCGCATCACCTGATGGGGACGAAGGAGGTCTTCGTCGACCTACAGCCGAGCGGTGACGTCAAGCACGTGCGCGGCTTCAATGGGGCGCTGCAGGACGTCCATGGCCGCGGCACTGTCGCTCTGCAAGGGGAGGCCGGAAGGCAGGTGCTCATCCTTGACGTGCTCTACGTCCCGGGCGTGCAAGCGAACCTGCTTTCGGCCGGCCAGCTGAAGGAGAACGGTGTGAAGCTGCAGGAGGACGGCGACGGTATGTTGCTCGTCTCGGCGGCGGGAGACGTCCTTGGTCGGGCGTCCTACACCGGGCGAGTCCTCTGCACCGACCTACGTCCCTGCTCGGCGAAGTCGACAACGCCCACGACGGAGGTCGTGGCCCTACGAGCGATCGTCTCAACGACGAAGTCGACGCCGGACAGGCTACATGCGAGGCTTGCACACGTCGGCATGGACACCATCCGGAGCTCGGCAAAGCACGAGGTCACCACTGGGTTGGACCTCAAGTCGGCGTCCGGCGCCGACTCGCCGTGTGTCTCGTGCGTCGGCGGGAAGCTGGCGCGGCACACCTTCCCCAACCAGGGCTCCAACGCCGACGACGTGCTGGCCGTCGTGCACATCGACCTGTGCGGGCCATTCCGCGTGGCTGCCAAGGATGGCAGCCTGTACTTCTTGCTGCTGAAGGACCGCAAGACTCGCTACGTGTGGGTGAGGCCGGTCGCCAAGAAGTCGGATGCGCTGCAGGAGTTTGTGCAATGGCTGGCGGTGGCTGAGCGACAGACGAAGAAATCGGTGTTGATGCTGCGCTCTGACCGGGGAGGGGAATTTCTCGGGAAACAGTTCACCGACTTGGTGAACGGCAAGGGGATCGTACACGACCTGACCTGCCCCTACACCCCGCAGCAGAACGGCATGGCAGAGCGAGAGATGAGGACGGTGGTGGAGTCGGTGCAGACGATGCTGCTGCACATGGGCGTGCAGCACCACTGGTGGCATCTCGCTCTGCGGCAGGCCGTCTGGGTCCGCAACTGCCTGGAGAGGTCGACGCTGCCGCCGGGGACAACGCCATACCTGCTGCTGACCGGGAAGAAGCCCGACTTGTCACTGGCACGAGTGTGGGGCTGCATGGCGCAGTTCCTCGTCCCCGAGCAGCAGCGAGGTGGGAAGCTGAAGCCGAAGGCCAGGTGGGGCCTTCACCTCGGCGTGTCGGAGGAGAGCAAGGGCTGGGAGCTCCTCGACATCGCCGACAACAGGGTGGTCACCACGTCGGACGTGGTGTTCTACGAGAACATGTCGCTGGAGGTGTGGAAGTCGGAGCATGGGCCGGCGTCGGGACGGACGCCGACCACCCCGCCGACGGACACCTCGACGGCGACGCTCCCTCTGCTCGCCGAGGTCAGTGTGTTAGAATCTAGAACTGAACGAGAATGGATGAAACTAGTCAGCAGGGTGATACAAGTAGGAAACCCTAACAATGTTGTACCCCCTAAGGCTAAACCCACTATAGCCTACACAATAGGAACATGTATAATGTTTGACACACCCCCATAGGCTAAGTGGGAGACAACCAGATGGTCACAAGACCAGTCAAAGCAAAGCAAAGCATGCTCAGGGTGGATCTCAAGGAAACCACACAAATTCCGAGCACAAGCAAGCGGTCACAAGACCAGTTCACATGCAGTTTGATAATATAACAAGAGGTACAGTGATCACAACCTAGCAAGTGTAAGCATGCAGGTATATATACATAGAGATCACAGTACAAGCAGAGTCAAGAAGTAAGCAAGTGAGGCACAGTAGGCACAAGGCCTAGAACAGTACAGAAACGCTGATGGTCACAAGGCTGAAGCGCCTTGGTGAACACATCAGCAGTGTTGGCCCGAGTGGCCACGTAAGCAAGACGAAGCTGACCACGCTACTGCAGCTCTCGAGCAAGGAAGTAGCGCAGAGCGATGTGCTTCGTTCTGTGCTCCAGTCTGTGCTCCTGACACAAGGCAATGGCGGCCTTGTTGTCGACGTACAACACTGGAGGAGAACGAGGCCGCTGGTCGGTCAGCAGGTAGGTGAGCCAGCGCAACTCCTGTGCAGCCATGGCTGTGGCGTAGATCTCAGCCTCACAACTGGAGCTGAGAACTGAAGACGAGCGTGTAAAACGCCAAGAAACTGAACCAGAGCCAAGGCTGAAGGTGTAACCCTGAGACGGCCGCTGCGTAGCCTGGTCGTCAGCCCAAGAAGCGTCTGAGTGCCCAGTGAGGACAACGTCGCTCCGTCCTCCAAGCACAAGCCCCATGCCCGACGTACTGCACAAGTAGCGCAACACCCTCTTAGCGGCATCCATGTGCTCCTTCCGGTGACGGCCAGGAGCGACATAGCGTGCTAGGATGCTAAGACGGTATGCAAGGTCAGGTCGAGTGCAGGTCATCAGGTACATGAGGTAGCCCACAAGCTCTGGATACGGGCCACTCGGCTCTACGGACTCATCCGAAGGTAGAGCTGAGAGCGAGTGACCAGTAGGCAGAGGAGTGGGCTGAGGCGAGGAGTACGTGAAGCAGAAGCGCTGAAGGACCTGCTGCACCATGTGTGACTGAGTCAAGGTGATGGTGCGCTGTGCTCTGTCCCGGGTGATCCGCAAGCCAAGATAGCTTGTCAGCTCACCCAGGTCTGTGCACGTGTGTCTCTTCTGCAGCTCCGACTTCACGTGGGCGAGTGCCTCAGTGTCAGCAGTAGCAAAGACCAAGTCGTCTACGTACACGAGAACGTAGAACGGCGGCAGAGTGGTGTCGGTGCGTAGAAACAGCGACGGGTCTGCAGTAGAAGGAGCAAACCCAAGAGCAGCAAGAGTAGTCCTCAGCGTGTCGTGCCACTCACGGGGTGCCTGGCGGAGACCGTAGACTGGCCGCCGGAGGCTCCACTGGGTACCAGCAGGGAACGACCCAGTGAAGCCAGGTGGGCGGCGCAGCCAGATCTCCTCGTGCAGGCTGCCCTGTAGGAAAGCAGTGCTGAAGTCAAGAGAGTGGAGCTCGTAGTCACGCTGAGCGGCGACGTGCAGCAGAACCCGAAGAGTGGTCATCTTCGGGGTCGGGGAGAAGGTCTGGAAGAAGTCAACTCCCTCTCGCTCACTGAAGCCTCGTGCAACGTAACGCGCCTTGAAGACAGGCGGAGAACCCGGCGGCCGCTTCACCCTGAAAATCCACATGCCACTGACGATGTTCGCCCCAGGTGGGGGAACCTCGTCGACGTAGGTGCCTGTGGACTTCCAGGAAGCCATCTCTGCGTCCATGGCTGTCTGCCACTGAGAGGAGTAGGGACCCTCTATCGCCTCGGCGTAAGAGCGCGAGGTCGGGATGTCTGGTGCATCCGGGTCTCCCTCAGGGGCAATCAGCATGGACACGAGATGAGGTAAAGCAGTGGCAAAGCACTCAAACTCCTCCTGTCTGTCCTCAAGGACGTCCGTGCCAAGAGCACACTCACCCCCGACGGACGGAGGACAGACAGACTCAGACTCAGCAACAAGGCTAGCGGCGTAGTCTAGACGACAGGCGGTAGCAAAGTCAACAAGCTCAGCAACTAGAGCAGGCGCAGCAGTGGACTCAAAGGAAGGGTCAGTGACAGCAGTAGCGAGAAGACGCGTGACAGTAGGACTGGCAGCACGAGCAAGGTCTGACGGCGGGTCAGTAACGTCAGGAAGAGAGGACGCAGGAGGAGACGGCAGAGGGACACGCTGTGGAGCAGTGGAAGGACGCAGAGTCATATAGTGAGTGCCAAGTACAGGAGGAGGACGCTGACGCGGAGCACGACGACCAGCGCGGACAGCGCGAACAGGCGACTCTGGACGAGACTCAGGCGACTCAGGACGAGACTCAGGCGACGCAGGACGAGACTCAGGCTCACGACGCTTCGTAAGACCTCTAGTCGGCCCAGCGTAAGGAGAAGGACCAGGCAGCGGAGAGGCAAGCGGTAACTGTGACTGCGACTGGACAGGTGGTGGACTCAGTAGGGGAGGAGAGAGAACCGGGGAGGGCGGGAGTCCAAGAACCTGCTGAAGGAGCGGAACGTAGTACGGCCGCGGCCGCTCAGCACCTCCTGAACCAGCAGAGACAGCACCAGCACCCTCAGCCCCAGGGTCTCCAGCTACAACTCCCGCAGCACCACCAGTAACCCCAGCAGCTCCAGTACCTCCAGCTCCAACCCCCGCAGCAGCTCCAGTCCCAGCAGCTCCAGTACCTCCAGTACGAGCACCTCTAGAACCAGCGGCTCCAGCAGCTCCAGCACCAGCAGGACCTCCAGTAGCTCCAGCACCAGCAGCACCTCCAGCAGCACCTGCACCAGCAGCACCTCCAGCAGCACCAGCAGCGCCTCCAGCAGCTCCAGCACCAGCAGCACCTCCAGCACCAGCAGTGCCTCCAGCAGCTCCAGCACCAGCAGCACCACCAGCAGCACCACCAGCAGCTCCTGCACCCGCAGCAGCTCCAGCTCCAGGGTCCGCTGCACCAGCAGCAGCTCCAGCTCCAGAGTCCAAAGCACCAGTAGCGCTACTCCGGAGACTGCAGCGCCGAGCGTACCACTCTCGGAGCCGCTGGGGAGAGAGCGCACCGGCAGCACCTCCAACAGCTCCAGCACCAGGAGCGTCTCCAGCAGCTCCAGCTCCAGCAGCACCTCCAGCAGCACCACCAGCAGCTCCTGCGCCAGCAGCACCAGCACCAGCACCAGCTCCAGCTCCAGGGTCGGCGGCACCAGCCGCAGCTCCAGCTCCGGAGACTGCAGCGCCGAGCGTACCACTCTCGGAGCCGCTGGGGAGAGGGCGGCTCCCGCCTAGGCGGGGAACCACTAGCACCAGCTCCAGCAGCACCCCTAGCCCCAGAAGCGCCCCTCCTGAGGCTGCAGTACCGCGAGTACCACTCACGCAGCTGCTGGGAAGAGGGAGCGCCTCCAGGCGCAGCACGGTCAGTCGCAGCACCCCCAGGCTCTGTACCCTCAGACGTAGCACTCTCAGGCTCAGCACCCCCAGGCTCCGCACCCCCAGGCTCCGCACCCCCAGGCTCAGCACCCCTAGCAGGACGAGAGTCGACAGCTACCTCGACAGGCTCAACCGGGTCTACCTGGGACACACCTGAGGGAGCGGCACCCTGAGGGGGGAGGGGGTCTACCACAGCAGCACCTGGTGCGAGGAAGAGAGGCGGGGGGGGGAGCGGGGCAGTGCGGTAGGGGAAGAGGCGGTAGTAGGGGACTGACTCGTCGAAAGTGACGTCCTGAGAGGGCAGGACACGGCGCGAGGTGGCGTGGTAAAACTGCCAACCAGACGCGTCCGGGACAAAGCCAAGGAAGACACAAGGAACAGCGCGGGAGGAGAGCTTGTCCGCGGACGTATCGCGGACAAAAGCACGAGATCCCCAGATCCGGAACACCGACGCATCGCCAACCTTTCCCGTCCAACGCAGTGTCGGCGAAGTCTCCGGAACGGAGACACGGGGCCAGAGGTTGAGCTGATGCGCAGCGTATCGGACCGCAAACAGCCACAGAAAGTGAGGAGCAGCCGCATGGATCAAGGAGGTACGAGCGACCTCCATGACCAAGCCAATGCGGCGCTCAGCAACCCCATTCTGCTGTGGAGAGGCCGGAAGCGTGAACGACTGCTCAATGCTGTCGTCGGGGGAAACGAGGAGGAGTGAGGAGCGGCGCGCT